TTTTCATCAAATTAAATTAGTTGTCGTTGCAGTTGCTTAGAAGCATTTTGAAGTTGGAGATGCTTTGATAAGAATTATGTCTTGTTAAATGTGGTTGGATTTTCTTGTAAAAAGCAATTATGGTTCGAGAAGACTATCAGAACAAAGTTGAGGAAATAACTAAGAAAGAGGAAATTAAGACTGGAAAGAGACTGAATGATATCTTATGAATTTCATAGTTTTTAATCATTTATTTTGTGTACATATTGATCATTTTAGTGCATTTAGAGTTTGTTTAGGTTTCATTTATGTGTTTTCAGGTTTGGAGAAGTGCTAATTAGACTTGGAGGTCAAATGAGCTTCAAATGTTCAATGGAGTAAGAAAAGGAGTAGAAACAAGTTCACCGCGGGCGAGATTCCGCGCCTGGGAGGTAGCCGCGGGCTTCACATCCAATCCTCGACAACAGCAACTCGGCCAGAGAATCCCGCGGGTATCGACCGCGGGAAATGAAGGGCACGGCTGTCTTGAAGCGACCGCGGGCATTGACCTCGGCATAAAGAAAACCGCGGCCGAGAACCAGTCGGCTCGACCAGAGAATCCCGTGGGTGTCGACCGCGGTGCTGAGGTGGCCGCGGCATTCTTGTATCGACCGCAGACATTGATCGCGGTAGAGAGCAGGGCACGGCTCGTTTCCAAAGCAGATTTTACCACTCTTTAGTTGGGTCGGCCTAGAGTTGTTGGGTGGACCTAAGACGAGTTTAGCTTACTATAAATGTGTTTTAGACCTGAAAAAACTGAGTTATCTTGTATTCTCTCATAAACTAAGAACTTATTTGGTGAAAGATCATAATTTTTTCTTCTTTTCAAGATTACGTAAATAAGGGAATTAAGAGTAGACCCTAATTTCCCAGAGGACACGGCTATCTGCGGAACCGCACAAGAACAATCAAGACAATGATGAATACGAAATAAAAGTACAGAAAAACGAGACTGAGAGCAAAAAGGCTCTTATTCCGAATTTGCGTAAGAACGGTACAACAATAGTAGCCTTAGCTGCGTGAGTCGTCGGCAAGATTCCTAACCTTAGCAATCTAACACTAAAACCCTAGTTGAGACGCAGCTCGATAACAAAAACGGAAAGCTGCCTAAATGCTAAGTTTGGAGGTGAAAGCTCTGAAAACTCGTCCTCTGCTTCTGTCCTATGCCTCTTGCTTATATACTCCCTTCCTTGGCAATTTGGTCCTTCCATTTCGCCCAGATTCGAGTTTATCGTGAATCTTCCATTTATCTTTATCTTTCTTTTTTTCCGCGGAAATCTTCTACTTATCCTCAAACTTGACATTTATCTTCAAATTTGACATTTATCTTCTTTCTGCAAGTAAATCTTCAAAACTTCATCGTATCTTCGGGTTGAACTTTGTTTAAAGTCGCGAGTGGGCTTTTATCGCGTTTTAGGACTTTCTGAGCCGTTTAGCGATAAAACCGTTTTACGACTTTAGACGAGATCGTTTCCTGATACGATGCCGTTTTTAAGTAAGTTTCTCGAGTTAATCGTAAATTTTGGCAATGTTCGATGTTTCGTTTAACTGTTTCCATTTTATACGATTTCCTTGAGTTCTTTTGAGAAAACAAGACTTCACGGTTTTTATCGTAAAAATCGAACGATAGGACGGATCGAGACGAAACGAGAGACATTTCGATCGTGGTTCGGAACATGATTGTGCCGAAGGACGTATGCCTTGAATCGAGGACGTGGGAGATAAAGGCTCGGGATAATCAGCTCGACGTACGACGAGCCGAACCAGACCGGTTCAGCTCACCGTACGGCGAGCTAGTTCAACCGAACCAGCTCGTGGTTTACGGCGGATGCGGTTTTTCGCGGTTTTGTGCTTAACTCGGACGATCGTGTAATTGGCGTTTGTTTCGTTCTTCCGAGATAACGATTTCCGAGTTTTTCACGGATTTCCTTTGTTTAGAAACTTCTTTTAATTTTATAAAACGATTTCTCGGGTTTTATAAAATGAGTTCTCGAGTTTTATAGAATGACTTATCGAGTTTTATAAAACGTATTTTTATTTTTTTACGGAAAGTTTTGGCTATTGATTTCGTCGTACCGATTTAGACCCCAACAGGTAGCCGCGGGCTTCACGTTCGATCCTCGACAACAGCGATTCGTCCAGAGAATCCCGAGGGTATTGACTGCAGGAAATGAAGGGAACGGCTCTCTTGAAGCTGACCGCAGCCGAGAACCAGTCAGCTCGACCAGAGAATCCTGTGGGTGTCGACGGTTGTGCTGAGGTGGCCGCAGCATTCTTGTATCGACCGCGTGCATTGATCGCGGCAGAGAGAAGGGTGTGGCTCGTTTCCAAAGAAGGTTTTACCCATCTTAGTTGGGTCGGCCCAGAGTTATTGGGTGGACCTAAGACGAGTTTAGCTTATTATAAATGTGTTTTAGACCTAAAAGACTTAGTTATCTTGTATTCTCTCATAAACTAAAAACTTATTTGGTGAAAGATCATAACTGCATCTTCTTTTCATCTTATTTCCTTAAGTTTGTTGAGTAATCTTGATCTCTAATCATGTTTACCAACAATCAACCATTGTTGTTAGGTTAATCATGTGTATTAGTGAGTAGATCCATTTTAGATTCATGGGATAGGTTGATTAAGTGTAGATCTAAGGTGTTTAGTGTTAGATCTAAGTGTTTCCTTGCTAGTTGAGTGATTTTAATGCTTGATTATTGTTGGCCTCTTTAATCTTGATCATTAGCCATTTTCTGCCCACAAGGTGTATGTCTAAATGGCTGAACCAACTCTACTTAGCTCTAAGGCTTCTTAGCCAATGACCTTTGTATCTAGGAAGCCTTAGATAGTTATTAAACCTATTCTTAAGGATTGCTAGACCTAGAACTTGCTTAGTTAAGTAGTTTAGACTTAAGGACAGACTTTGATTGAAAGCTTGCCACCTTTAGATTGAAACTTGATCACCTAAACCAAATACCTAATCTCATGGATCTTATCTTCACTAATTGAGAGAAAGTTTGTCCCTTTGTTGCATTTTAGTATTGCTATTAATCATTTCATATTCACTAAACTAGTTGCATTTAGATTGAGCATTAACTTATAATCTCTTTGCTTCAAAATGACTTAGAATATGGATTGACATCTAAAATACTACTTTGATTTGAATTAGGATCTAAAATTCCTTATCACTGAACCAAGAGGTTTTTGTTTCAAAGTCCCGGTAAAAATCGTTGGGGTTCTCATTATAAGACATTGTTGTGGTTGGTTGATTTGTTCGCTTATATCATTGAAGTGCTTGAGTATGTTGAAATCGATGGAAGTGATGGTATCAAAAGACACCAAGCTAATGGTCTTTCTCAAGTACTTCCACAACTTTGACTTTGTATACTCTAGTTATAATTGGTATTGCTTCTTCTTGGGATCAAAAATAGCTTGTCAAAGGCTCTCCAAAGGAAAGATAAAAAATATTATGAATGTTATATAACTTGTGAAATCCACCAAGCAACAATTGTACAAAATCATAGATGATGGATGATAATCTCTGATCAATAAAGTTTCTTTCTTTTGTGAGAACTACAAGATTGAGTTTCTTGTTATGGATGACGAATTTGATTCAAAGAATGCAACGAAAAGAAGCAATATAACCAACTTCCATCATTACAAGGTGAAGTGCTTTTACACTGTATTGGATATGCAAATTTAAGAGTTTAATGATCGTTTTGATGAGATAAACACATAATTACTTGGTTGCATTGGTTCCTTGGGTCTCACTAATTCATTTTAGGAGTTTGATTAGTTAAATTTTATGAGATTATTTGAGTTTTATCCTGAAGATTTTAGTCTTATCGAGTGGAGTACTCTTGGGTATCAACTAGGTCTCTATTATGACAAAATTTAAGAAGATGAAAGAATTTCTAATTTGAATGATCTTTAAGATCTTGCATGCATGATGGTGAAGACAAAAAAAAAACTCTTTCAAATACTTAGATTTATTGGTTTTTGAAACTAGTTTTGACTTTACATGCTATCATCACTATAGTTGAAAGATGTTTTTCAGTGATGAAGATTGTGAAGATTAGCTTAAAGAATTGGATAAGTGATCAGTTTTTAATTGATTGTGGTGTTTGTTTTGTTGAAAAAAGGAATTGTTTGAAAAAGTAACAAAAATTTTAGTAAAAGAATTTCAGAATGTAGAATCTGGTAAGATAAATTTTGGAAGATATTTTTTAGTTATGATTTTTTTTTATCTAAATGAGTTAGTTATTAAGGGCCCATGATTAATAATAGTTCTAGATCCAGCACTATTTATTAACCGATGAAAAAATAATTTGTTTAATTATGTGTCTAATTGTCTTATATTTTTGGTAAATTCTTAAAATATGATAATAACTCATAAATCATCATTAATATAACAATAAAATAATAGAATAATAAAATTATAATACAATAATGTTTTACAATTTTAAAGATATTATAATATTCTAATTTTATAATTTTTATTACTAAATAATCTTCAAATATATGCAGTTTTTTGAAAAATTGTAATTTTCTAATCTCATTATCATTAGTTTCTTTTTAAAATCACAATAGAGATATTATTTAGTTTTATGGGTTCATAATATATATCTAACAAATTTTCTCTTAATTTTATAGAATTTAATTTAATATCTTACGAAAGGAATAGATAAAAAATATTTCTAGGATTATAATTTTGTATATATATATATATATATATATTATTATTAAATATAAATTTAAATAAAAATATTTATTTATCTTAATTTTTACATATAGTAAAATTAAATATAAAAATCAAATATTGTAAGCAAATAATAACATGGAGCATAAATTTATTTTTAAATATGATTTAAATTTTAAAATTCATATTTTTGCAGATAGTGTAGGAAAACACCTGCATAATGTAAGAAAACACCTAGTAAAATATTAAAACATATGACCAAGTAGTTGAGTCGTTTAGAGAGTAAACATGGCAAGCAGCTTGTTTCCCGCATCAAAATATAGAGTTTCAGAAGAACACATCCAAACTAGTTATATAATAAAGTTTTAAGTATCTGTGAAATTCCAGACACATGTCAGAATGAAGAAGACGTATTAAAAAGCAAAAAAAAAAGGCTTTAACCATATAAGATCACTTCTGATACAAGTCGAAGAAGTAAACATAACAATATACACTATATACCCTCCTAAACTGGACCTGGATAAGGTGAAACTGAAACCAACAACAAAACCACATGCAAAAACAAATAGAAACACTTTATAGTATATACACAGCAAGGTTTTCAGTTTTCAGATCATCACGGAAGCTCTGAAGTCTGTGGTTAGACTGCACACTGATATCAAGAACAGAACCGCAACAACGGCGGCCCTAAACAGTCCTCCGTATGAATATCTCACGGACATAATCTTCTTAAACAAGAATTCAGTTCTGTTCTTAGATCTCATTAGCTTCCCCTTCTTCATAGTTTCCACGTCCCTATCCTCAACCTGCGGTAGTACCATTCATTTGTTACCATACTAATCTCACTAGAGTAATTCATGCTGAAAATGTTTGTTATTCTCTCACCACTCTCTTGACAGTTTGCAGACGCAATCTTCTTGAGGCATTTCCATGGATGATATAGTCAGTGGCACAACCTGAGGGTTGTTCCCGCCGAGCCTGTAACTTGATACCTGTTGTTGAAACATCATCGCTCGTATTACCTGCCGAGCTCTGTTGCTGATACGCTGGTGCAATCTGCAATCAAGTATATGTTAATAGCGAGTTAGTTCAGATTATGTTTTCTTAATGAACACGCACAAAATGATGTTATGAGTTTCGAACCTGATCTGGCACTGCACCGTCGAACTCAAGCGGAAAAACAAAGTTTTGATCCTCTAAATCGTCTTGGAAATCAAGAACCGAATTGAGAAAGCCGGATATGTCTGTATCTGCTTCGTTTGTACCGTACTGAGTCTGAATCTGGAAGCTGTTGTTATGGTTCCCTAAGAAGTCACTCGAGCTAGGCTGAAATGCATTGAAAGAGGAACCAAGCTCGGATTGGACTTGACAGTGTAAAGGAGAGAACATCATGTCACTCAGGGACTCCAGCTCAGGAAAAGACAGCCAATCAAAATCTCCAAGCTGCGATTCAAATATAATGTCGTTTAGGTTACAAAACCTAAGCAATGAGAAAAACTCTGCAGTGACCACACCTTGGAGGTTGTAGCCTCATTGCAAGCACCATTATGAGTATCACCCGAGTTTACAAGAGACGACTCAGCCTTCACGCCTCCTTCTGCTTTAGCAAACATTGATACTTCAGAATTAGTCTCATTCGGGGAAGATGTTGGAGGTGAGACAGCTTCATCCACTAAACTCGGGTCTTGTTTCTTGAACAATTTGCATATAACAAACGGACTCTGCATAGATCAAAACAAGCAAATCATTAAGTCAAATGGTTACTTAAACCATTACATTAGTTGCATTTTATTACCTGCCCAGGATCGGTGCCACTTAGGTCCTGCTCAGTGGCGCGATACTCGTGCATAATCCAGTTCGTTCGTGTCCCCTTAGGAGCACGACCAGAGTGAAAAACAAGAGTTCTCTTCAGACCGATAACGTTGTTCTTGCCGGATTTGATCTTCCTGTCTTTTCCTGTCGCCTTCCAGTGGCCTGCGATCGTTGACCGGTTCTGTCTACTTCCGTTAGGGTACTTTCGGTCCAATGGACAGAAGAAGAGCCATTCTGAGTCTTTTGTTTTGATCGCAGAAAAATCTACAAAAGAAAAGCTCTGATTTAGTCAACACCCTAAAATCTGAATCAATTCAAGAAGAAAAGTTAGGGTACCAGGTAGATCCCAAGGTTCGCATTTGCAGATATCGATCTCTCGGATGGCTTTGACGTCGTCATCGTGGCCGTTGATTTTCCTGCGGAGATAGTAACGGACTAGCTCCTCGTCTGTTGGACGGAATCTTAATCCCACTGGTAAGGAATCCATCGATAGTTCTTTAATATTCTGATTCATTTGATGCAACTTTTCAAGAAAGATAGGATAAGACTTTTTCTTTTTTTTTTATCAGAGATGCGATTCGAAGGTATCAGGAAGAAGAAGACAATACAAATTTTAAGATCGATTCGATTTGGTAAAGTGAAGAAGAAGAAGAACACGATTTTTCTTTTGTCTTTGGGTTAAGAAGATGAGAGCGGCGCGTGGATGAACTTTATATATGAACAGCAGAACAGGCGAAACCGAGTATAGTACGCGTTTGGGGAGAAAAAGTCGAAGTACGACTTTACCCTTTACGAGAGGTTAATAAGTTGGTTGACTGCGTGGATAAATACTAATAGTAGTAACAAGCTGTAGGGGTAAAACTAGGAAACTAGATGATTGTTATGTCAGACAACGAATGATATGGCGACACGTGGAGAGGGCATGGAAGTTTCGCCGTCGGTCTCACTTGTTGAGTTTCTCGGAAGGTTGCATTTCCTGATCTTGACTCTGGGGTAATAGTCTTTCGTTTTCGGAATATTCGTGACATACCAAAATATTTAATTACGTTTGTGATATATGACGATACATTCATTGAAGCACGCAGTAGCTATTTGAGTATATTTGGGGCACTTTCTTTTGCTGCAGAAACGTTAGTTGTAATAACGTTGTGATTTCCCCCGACTGGGAGAAACTGGACTTGGATATTTTTTTCAACTAAGATTATTTACTGATATCATCCATTTCTTATATACAAAGAAAAATAGGACTTCAGTTACAAAAAAGAAGAAAAAGAAAAATACAACTTTAAAGACAACGAAAGCTCTCACCGGACGTGTTTATATATCTTATTTTCCTTATCAAAAAAAAAAAAATGAAAGAGCAAAATAAATGTTGTTGTTGTAACTTCCAGTTTGTCATATATATATTTTATAAGAATTGATTAGCTACATATATTACTAAACTATATTTACTTTTTCAGTCACATGTCAAAAGAAAAATTCAGACAAAAATAGGCTTGAGCTGCAGTAATAGAAGAATATGATCTAGGAAAATGATTAGCGATATCGTATAAGTGAAGTTAAATCACGAAGAAATAACATATGGTGGTTGTATAGTCAGTAAACAAGACGTCTAATCCTCCCAAAAGTTAATGCATGTCCATTACAAAAAAAAAATATAGAACCTACAAACTGAGTGAATGGTATGAAAAGTCCATTAGTCATGGACGGTCGGATTTTATTATTATTTTTTCAGACATGGCTTCACATAAGTTTAATTATAGATGGAAAAATGATGCAAATAATAAATTGGCATCTTAAGCATAGACTAAGTATCTACTTTATGTATACTATGTACAATAGTTGTAAAATTTTCAGCATCTCTTTTTTACACTTTCAACAATCTATATCATGTTTTTGTTTACACTTACTAATTCAACAACCATTTTACACATACAAAAACCATTTTACACATACAAAAAATTTGTTTAATTAAATTTAAGAGAAATTTGGAGTCATACACATAACAACAACAAAATTAACTCTATACACATAATAATCGATGGACAACGATATATTATATAGTATGCTATTAAGTTTCCAAAAATACCCTTTTATTCACGTGAGAAATGTGAGATATTCTTTCTTATCTTTACCATAAAATCTAAAAAAACCTATAAAACTTTTCACTGGTGCTTTGACCGAAGATCAAAGATTTTGAAAGTATGATTTGGGAAGCTCGATTGTGAGTCAGAATTGGAAAAAGAAAAAGTCTGAAATGTTCCGTCAGACCACCATAAATGATATAAGAAAAGATAGATTAAAGGTGGCTTTGCAATTTCACAGTGGAATCATGGCGGCACTATTCCATTCAAATCACCAAATCAAGGTAATTTTGGTTTGATTAAATAGCATACTGAGACATATCAACAGTTTTGAAGCCATCATGCAGTGTAATAACCGCTCTTACATCGGAACCGATATTTTTTTTTTTTAGATCTGGTTGGAAGAGATTACAGGCAGGCGATAGAAAAGGGAAAATAATAGGAAAAACTGTTTCTAAACTGAGCTATAAATTTCCTATTTGTCTCCTTAAACACAAAACTTCCCATGTCTATGCCTCTGTTGTCTTCTTATGTTGCCTAAAATAAGTTTTTGGGTTCGTGTTTTTTGAAGAAAGTGATGATGTCATAATATGACTATTCTATTTTCATATTTTAATAGAATAGTAACATGGTTGACATGAACCCAGTTCACGTGGGAAATATAGATTGATCTATATACAAATCTTGTGCATCCCTGTGATTGACGGTGTTAATTCTTTGCTTACAGCATATGGAAACATGAGTTTATCGGTTTCCGTTTGGAGGTGAAGTAATGTGTGTCTTAAAATAACTAAACTATTTTAAATATTTTAATAGTATAGTGACAAGGTTTAGATTAAATAATTCACTTTACAAATCATGATGGATATATATATAAATTTGTGTGTATCTTTGTCATTGCTGGTCTTAATTATTTTCCCAAACTATTAGTTGTACAACCTATCATGTTTTTGAAACTTGTATTCTATAGAAGATAGTTTTACCAAATCCTATGCTCCATTGAATTTTAAAGGCTATAGTATATATGATAACTGTATAGTATAGTTAATTACATATGTTATTTTCATCTATACTATATAAGATATGTTTATAGTATGGATAACCCAAAACAATTTTATAGTTCACATTACAAATAGATAACCCAAATTTTTTATATAGTTCACATTGCAAGTATACATCGATCTATGTATATGTTCTTTCTATGTTCTACTAATACCTACACCGTAAGAAACAATTTAATAATAATATTAACTTGATATAGTTGGTTTATATGTGATAATGTTGTTTGATACTAAATAAGGTACAAACAAAATTCTCATATGTCGCTCATGTTGACACGGAGCCTCACTAGTATACAAGCAGAATGTGAAAATGACCATGTTGTGCACCCCACGCATTGTGATAGTGACTGAAGAATTGTAAATAGGCGTTTAAACCATATATGTTTGCTATGGAGTACAAACTCGTGCTATCCTACGTGTAAATTGTTAATAGTATGGTCCAGCAATTGGCAATATTTTCGCATATCTCCTTGTGTGTCTATTGTTTTAAACCTGACATGATTACTTTAATGTTAGTGTGGAGAACAATCAGAAGCTTCAGTGCATTCACCAACCCCAACCGAGGACATCAACAAACTATAATATTTGTTTATGTACTTTTGTGTTACAGGCCCATGTCAGATACTAGCATACATATTGAATGTTATAAGATATATGCTATTATTAATATAGTATAGTTTGTGCAGACTTTGTACCTGTATGTACTTTGATTTGTATACTAAATTGTTTAAAGCATGTAAAACACTCGGTTTCCATCATAACATTATTCATACCTTTTCAAATAAGTGAAACCCTTATTTAGCACGATCCCAAAAGACTTCCTATCTTCATTGCCTTCTTACACATATAAATACATGTATTTTTATATTAGGTTCATGTGGAAGTCTTATTGTGCTACTCGAAGCCAACAAATGCTCCTCGTAAATATCTTGTGCCCACATCTTGTGCATACATGGATGCGCATTACATATTTAATACGTAAAAATATAAAAAATTTCCATTTGTTACGTCTCACTTGTATACGTAAAAATACGTAAAAATATAAAAATCATACTATACTATAAACAACAAATAGAATATAATAAATTTCCATTTGTTACGTCTCACTTGTATACCTTATATTTTCTCGTAAACAAGATGTGGAGGTTACATGGATGCGCATTACATATTTAATATCCGGTGGGAGAAGCCCTCCATGAATCAACCACCTATGTTGGTTCCTATTACAGATGGAACAACTATGTTCATCGTTCGCGTTCTTTTTATAAACAATGCTTTATATTATATTATTCTATTTATAGAAAGAATATAGTCTATTACACATCTTTTCTCTTATCTCCTATGTTTTCTGTTTCATCCTCCATATTCTCTCCTCTTACTCCTCATGTTCTCGCTTACTGTCTCTTATTTCCTCTCTTCCTTTTTTTCTCTCATTTTTCTTCTCTCATCGTTCTCTCTTTTGTATAATATATTATATTTTATTCTATAATCCTAATGTAGTATCTTATTCTCATCTCTTCATCCTCTTTCCTCTCTCTTTTACCCCTCATCCTCCTCATTCTCCTCCTTTCCTATCCTCTCTCCTCCCTCCCTCTTTCTCTTCCTCTTATTTATCTTCCTCTTCTTTTTCCTCATCTTCATTATGTCAATCAGAGAATTGTTGCCATCTAATTATTTCCTAACCTAGAAACAATTATCATTGAGATGTTGATATTAATCAAGTTTTCTATACTATTTATTAATATATATAGTTTGGTACATTGGTTATGTACATATAACGTGTCGAGTACATTTTACATGCGATGAAGGAGTTTTTTTGTCTACTTTTAGCCAAATTCGAATACACATTACGTTAGTACGCATACGTTCCACCAATCTGGGTGCCTCTTTCATCATACAGTTACCATTTTTTTCTTTTCCATCTGACCACAGTCTTTGGAATCTCCTAGGATGTGTTATGAACATATAAACTTCTTTCCTTAACCACTTTGTCGGACTATTATAAATCACATATAATATACAAAATTTTTGCTCCCTCCTGCTCGTATATGTACTAATTCCATACATATGTCTTTTGTATAGTACCGTCCAACTTAGTAAGAATATGCTACATAAAGGACTACCAATATGAGCTGTGTTGTTATCTTTTTCTTATACTATAAACTCTATAAATTTGGTATAGTATATATGCCTTTCGTATACACCTTATATTATAGTCCCATGTATATGTCTCCTATATTAGACAGTCCAATTTAGTCATAATATGCTACATAAATGATTATCTACGTGAGTTGTGCTCTAATCTTTTTTCCTATATTATTAACGGTATACATTGCTATATTATGAATGTCGTTCGAATACACGTTACTTTAGTTTGCATACATATCACCAAGCTAGGTTCCTGTTTCTTCACACATGCATCAATTTTGCTTGTCTTCCATATGTACACATACTTTGGACCCTCTTCTTATGCGTTATGTGAAGAAACTTTTTTTCCTTCCTGAGCTACATGGACTACTATATCAC